TTTTGTCCTTGATCATGTCCATCTTTGCACAAAATGTTCCTTTAATAGCTCCAATTTTCTTGAACAGATCTCTGGTTTTTCCCTTTCTATTATTTTCCTCTATTTCTTTGCACTGTTCATTTAAGAAGGCCCTCTTTTCTCTCCTTGCTATTCTTTGGAAGTCTGCATTCAATTTTCTGTAACTTTCCCTATCTCCCCTGCATTTTGTTTCCCTTCTCCTCTCTGCTATTTCTAAGGCCTCGTTGGACAGCCACTTTGCTTTCTTGCATTTCCTTTTCTTTGGGATGGTTTTTGTTGCTGCCTCCTGTACAATGTTACGAGCCTCCATCCATAGTTCTTCAGGCACTCTGTCCACCAAATCTAGTTCCTTAGATCTGTTCTTCACTTCCACTGTGTATTCATAAGGGATTTGATATAGATTATACCTGACTAGCCCTGTGGTTTTTCCTACTTTCTTTCTTCCTACTTTCTGGCCTAGATGCCTTTAAAACAGGATTCGATAGATTTCTGAAGAAAAAGTCCATCAAAGATTACAAGCCTAATGGGGATATATAATCTCCAGGTTTAGAAGGAAGGTACCTCAAAATGACAGATGTAGGGGAAGTAGATCAGGAGACACATATCTAGTTGTTTCATGTGCTCCTAGAGGCATCTGGTGGGGCCACTGTGAGATGCAGGGAGTTGGACTAGATGGGTCCTTGCCCTGATCCAGCAGGGCTCTTCTTAAGTTCTTATGTAACCAGAAAGTTATAATCAACTTGAAACTTCCATTATGGAATGTTCTTGTGCCTCCATTCCAAGAAGGCACCAGACCAACTACATCCCATGTTTCACTCCAGAAAGCAATGCCTAATAATTATAATCTAAATTTCACATTTCGATGAAGATCCTTTTAGTTAATTTACAATAAAAACTGGGAGAAATTTAATCTTGACTCTTGCAAAAACAAAAAGAACTTGCTGGATAAACATGATAACAGATGTTGACATGGCAAGAAGCAGCCAGAAGGCTTGGAGACTACTAAAATGATTGAACAACAATCCAAAAAGAAAAAAGGACACTGTATGCAAATATAACTCACAAGCCAATAAAACACCAACTGCTCCTGGCAGGGAAGAACAAACAATGCATAATACAAATACAATATCAAAGAGATATTCAAAATGAATCCAATGAACTTTCTATGCCTTCATATTGGCAGAACTACAGGAATCCATAAAAGGATGTCGGGATGGCAAAGCAGCAGGACTCAGTGATATCCAGACTGTGCAAATTAAACATTCTGGGCAAAACACAAAGGATTGGTTCCTTCAGCTCTTTAATAACTGCAGGTCAAGCAAACAAATACCAGAAATATGGTGGAAGACCAAAACTACTATGCTGAAACCAGGCAGATCCCCAAAATTACATGGTAATCTCCCTACTATGTCACTTATACAATGTGTTTAAATGAATTACATTGAATTGTCTAGCTCCCTAAAACTGAACTTTGTTTAATTGCAGAACAGGCAGGCTATAGACCTGGCAAGAGTTGTATAGATTTTAAAATCCAGCATGTAGAAGATGGTTTTGAAACACAAAAAATAACTGGAATAGCATTTGTTGACCTTGCAGCAACGTATGATACTGTGCATCATCCATTGCTGCTCAAAAAGCTCTACATTCTTATTAAGAATCATGGATTAACAGAAATGGTCACTGCTTTACTTCAAAACTGAATTTATTTATTTTTTTATTTTCAAAGGAAGCAGAGTCACTAGGAAAATCAAAGGAATGGTCTCCCGCAGAGTAGCATCCTGGCACCGTTACTTATTAACATTGACACAAAGGACCAACCAATGTTCCCATCCGTCGGGAGTTTCATCTATGCTGATGATCTTGCCTTGACAGTCCAGGGGGAATCCTTTGAGTCCATCAAGCACCAACTAAGTATTGCATTAGAAGACCTTTTTTTATTATTATAAAAAATCAACCAACTAAAATCAAACCCTTTAAAAACACAGGTCTGTGACTACCACCTAAAGAAAATAGAAGCTGAGAGGAACTCTGGGTTCTCTGGAAGACAAGATTTTGAAACACTGTCCTACCCCGAAGTATGTGGGAGTCACTCTGGACCAAACCCTGACCTACAAAAAAACATTGTCCAAACATCAAACAGAAAGTTGCACCAGAAATAACTTACTTGCTGGGTTAGACTGGGGTGCACACCCACAAACAAGAAGAACAACAGCTTTGTCCCTGGGCTAGCAGAATATGCTGGTGCCATTTGGTATAAATCAACACATGCTGAACAAGTGGATGTAGTTCTTAATAGATCGTGCAGGATTGTTGCTGGCTACCTGAAATGTACCCCCACTGCCACCAGAAATAACATACCTAGGAAACTGGATGGATCAGACTGGAGTGCACACCCACAAACAATAAGAACATAAGAAGAAGTCTGCTGGATCAGGCCAAGGGCCCATCTAGTCCAGCTTCCTGTATCTCACAGGGGCCCCACCAGAGGCCTCCGGGAGCACACCAGATGAGATACCTGTCTCCTGGTACACCTCCCCTGCATCTGGCATTTTGAGGTACCTTCCTTTGAAGCCTGGAGATTATACAGCCCCATCATGGCTTGTAACAACAGCATTATTCCTCTGTGATGTTCACAATTTCTGCAGAACATCTCCATGCAAAACTAGCTGTCCCTTTCCTATGAGGAGCAAAGTGCATGGACACACACGAAGCATGCACTAAAAACCAAGGTTATGGTTCAAAAAGACGCAAAGTACCCATGCAATATTTCTAATTCTTAAAATTCCACTAAACAAAGCAACCACTATAGTAGTTCTGCACAATTTGCATGACTTGCACAAAAATGGTTTTGAGCAAACCTGAAATTCTGTGAAGATGGAAGTCAAGACTTAATAACAGCAGCAGCAATCTCACTCTCTTATAAATTTTTTTTTTGTCGTTTCTCATTCTCATGCGTAAGAACAGAAGAAGTGAGGTTAATAATATTTGATCCTAGAATCTCTTGGAGTTTTATTTGCAACATCGCATGCTGCCTGTAATCTGATTGGAAGGGACTTTTCTGGGTTGGGTGATTGTTTATTTAGCATGAACCAATGCTTTCTCTCGGCTTTGATTTCAAAGAGAGCCTCACCTCTCTGCTGAGTGTTCCTTTCCTTCTCTTTAGTTGGTATGGTGGGATTTTGTTTTGTTTTGTTTTCTGTTGATCTGTTCAGTGGGTTGCTAAGTCTGTGTGTAGTAAAGGAAGCGGCATGCACAAGTCTGTAACGTCAAGCCACTGTAAGCAAATAAATGTTTTTACTCTTTCTCCTACAAATGTTTCAGTGTGAGTTACTGAGACTTTAATGAGAAAGGGGTGGACTCCAGGGAACTTGTAGTTATTCTCCTCTGTAGTTCTCTCTAATTCTGTTGTATGACAAAAAGAAAAATTTTACCAGAAGTTCAAAACTTTGCAACAGGATCTTCTCATGCTCTGGTAAGAAGTTGCATGCTTCCCCTTGAGAGTCATTGCTTGAAATAATACATTAATTTTAGGTGTTAGCATTCAAACAGTTACTGTCATATTAAAGGGGAAGACAAGTCAACTGATACATCTAAAGAATAATGTTTCAAATGTAATGTTTTAACCCTACTTTCAAATGATGTGGATGCATTTGTCCATTTAATATGTTTTAACAATAATACATTAAACCAAACACATTATTTACACACTACTGAAACAGCGACGTCTACATTGGCTCGGGCATGTCGTGAGAATGGCTGGCGATCAGATACAGAAAGCTCTCCTGTATGGAGAATTAGTACAGGGAAAGTGCCCCAGAGGGAGACCACAGCTGTGATACAAGGACATCTGCAAGCGGGATCTGAAGGCCTTAGGAATGGACCTCAGCAGATGGGAAACTTTGATTTCTGAGCATTCAGCCTGGAGGCAGGCGGTGCAGCATGGCCTCTCCCAATTTGAAGAGACTCTTGTCCAGTAGGCCAAGGCAAAGAGGCAGTCCCGAAACCAGCAAAATCAGGGAGCTGGGCAGTGGACAGATTGTATTTGTCTTCAGTGTGGAAGGGATGGTCACTCTTAAATCGGCCTTGTCAGCCACACTAGATGCTGTTTCAAGTCCTCCACACAGAGCATATGACCATCATCTCTTGAGACTGAAGGATGCCTAATCTAATTTACAAACTTAGGGGAGAAATGTAAAATCTGCACAAATGAGAATTTGCAGAACTGGGACTTTAGGACAGGAAGTGCAGAGAAATAACAGAGCAGAGAGAAAGCTGAAAGGAACAAACAATCCGCTATTTTCATGCTCTGAGTGCTAGGATTGTTGAAGGCAGCTTTTACGGTGAGGAATGAGCAGTGCAGACTTCAGGCATCTTTAGAATGATTCACTTCCAAATATTCAGCTATCAATTCCTTCCTCCTGTATCCTCTCTGTCATTCAGCCAACCGCCTCCACGCTTTCTCTGAGGCTTTAAGTGACACTTAACAGATAGCACAAAATTAGAAGAGAGGATTCTTCAAATGCTCAGAGATTTTAGATTGACACTAATTTTCACAACTCTTCTAACTTGCTGGTTGGCTCCCCTTGTTTTGTGACCGGTCATGGGAGGCAAACACAGGTGGTAAACACAGACCTTGTTTGAAAGTACAACTGCTCAGACTAGAAGGTCCACTGGAATCTCCTCTTCAGAATACTTATGTACATTATTTTCATCTCCTAAAGTAGAGACAGGACTAACTGTTGGTTCAGTGGTTTGTGCTGGTTTGTTTACCATCCAAACACGTGTCTGGGGGTTCCGTGCCCCACTTCCACCAGCCAGCACCCACTTCGCTGCCCCGCCTCCACTGGGCACTGTCCTCTGAGTGGGTTCCTGACAGAGGAGGTGGGGCAGGAAACCTCCAAATACCTGTTCAGCTGGTAAATGAACCAGCACAAACTGCTAAACTAGTGATTTGTGACCAACTATAACCCTGAGCTTTCTTTCTTTTTTTAAAAAATATATAATTTCCTACAGCCTTAGTGGCTGAACTTTGTCCTCACAAAAAATCTGCAAGGTAGATCATCAGGCTGAGAGGTAATGACTCTCTCTCAGTCCTCACAAAAAATCTGCAAGGTAGATCAGGCTGAGAGGGAATGACTCTCTCTCGGTCAAAATAACAAAATCTCTCATTGATGTTCAATGGTGAAACCTTGGCCTTGAACCCATGTATTCCAAGCCTACCATTACATGATACAGTACAAGCTCATTTTTTTATGCACCCATGTTTCAGCACTTTAAATCCCACTTCAATTCCCTGAAAACTCACCCTCCCTGCCTTCTTCATCATTTAGACTGCAGACCTATGAACATTTACTTGAGAAGTCCAGTCAAAGGTAATGGGATTACTCTGCAGGGGAAGGTGAGTGTTTAGCTTCTTTATCAATAGCATTGTACAAGACTCCCAACATACTGAAGAAGTGGCACAGTCAGATGTATACCAAGTGGTCAGTAAACTCGTAATCATTTTTCCAAAGAGTTCTCTGGTTTCACGGGTTAAACCCGATGATACAAATAGAAACTGATAACAATTCTACAGAGTTTCATGCCTGAATAATCAGACTCACCAACAAAGCCAGGCTTCCCTCCTGATGACCAATTGCAAAGCAAGCCAATTTGCAAGGTACAGAGGCAAGAACTCTCATGCTTGGACAGTTAGACCTCTTTTTAACCACTGAAGGAATTCCCATTTCTAACCACATGCCATCTGTATGGTTTGGCCCTGGGTGAGCATAACTAAGAGTCCATTCTTTCCCTCCTTTCACTCCCGGTCAATGATCACTAAAAAATGTGCCCTTACATTTCTCAATGGACATGATCTCGCTGGGGTAGACCTCGATCTCTACCTTTCCATCGGCTTCGGTTTTGTCCAGCCACCGGTTGCATGGGAAGTTGTACAGTTTTCCATGGACGGGAATGATAATCTGAACAGAAGCAAGGTGCCAGCCAGCTCGAAGCCCAACATTGTCATGCCCAATTAGAATTCGTTTGATCTTTAGAAAACAAAGGAGGGGGAGAGAGAAACATAGCTTTAGAGCATAGAGGGAGCAATAGAAGACAGGTGAATACATAGAAAACCTCCCTGCTCATATTCAGGAGGTTGCTGAAGACACTGCTTTCTCCAGAGGTTTTTGAGGGCAACCTTACAGGAATCTGCCACTTGCCTTGCCCTACTCTACTATGAGTTAATGTTCGTGGTGCTGTTGTCTTGTGCTGATCTTTTACTCCTGGTTTACTTGCTTTCTTGATGTTGATGTGTTGCTTTTGCTGTTTGATTTATTGATTGTTAACCACCCAGAATAGTGTTCTGCACTAAATGGAGTGGTATGTCAATCTATGAAACAAGCAAGCAAGCAAAACAGCACATTAAACTAATCGTGGAAGACCTTCAGTATTCATGGTTAGTAAGAAGGCAGGTTGTTGTTGTTGTTTTTGTTCACTTATCAGAAAAACCCAGCCTCACCTTTTGAGGGGTGGAGAGCCTCTCTGAGTGACTTGCCAATACCAGTAGGAAGGCAGTTTCTGCTATTATCATGTGAAAAGACACAGCCCCCAGGGACACAGAGAAGGGGAAAACCTGTGATACAGACCCTGGTTCTTATCATTGCACCACAAAATCCCAAAGAATTCAGCAGAGGTAAGCAGACTGCAGTCCTCCAGAGGAATTTTATTTTAAAAAAAACCCAAGTAACTAGTTATAGCTAGCAATGTTACTTGTTACTAGAGATGGGCATGAATCAGGAAAATGGTGATTTGTTTCAATTCATGGTCCATCAATTAATTAATTAATTAATTAGATTTATACCCCACCCATCATTAGATTTATACCCCACCCATCTAGACAGATAGTCTACTCTGGGCAGCATTACAAAATTTAAAAACCATAGAACCATTGAACATGCAAAAATCCAAGATGTAAAAAATGTAAATATTAAAATACAGCAGGAGGGAAAGCCTGCCTAAATAGCCATGTCTTAAGTTTACTTCTAAACACACCCAGAGAGGGAGCCAGATGGCTCTCAATGGGCAAGTTGTTCCAGAGTCAAGGGGCCACTGTCGAGAAGGCCCGGTTCCTCATTCTTTCCTTGTGGGCCTCCCTCGGCGTTAGGCTCCTCAGTCGCCCGGCTTGGCTAGAATGAGTGTCTCTGGCAGAACTGGATGGGAGAAGGCGCTCTGTCAGATATTGAGGTCCTAAACCATTTAGGGCTTTATAAGTAATCGTAAGAACTTTGAAATCAATGCGGAAACGAATGGGCAACCAATGCAAGGCGGCCAGTATGAGGAAAATATGTTAGATATGATTCATCATATCAAACTGAATCATATCAACTTTGATATGATTCATCATATCAAAGTTGATGAATCACAAATACAAATATATGATTTTTTTTCCTGACCGATGAATCAATTTGGAGATTTTAATTTTTTTTATTTTAAAACCCTATAAAATAGCCTCCAGACACCTAAATACACCAAAACCACAGAGTGGCTTCCCCTGATTCTCTTCTACACACCTTGCAAGTTTGGTGAAGTTTGGGTGCCAGATGTCTAAGTTATACGCCGACAAAGAGGGCCTCCCAGGAAAGTTCCCCCCCCCCGGCACCTAGAGACATCAAAATCACCAAGAAGCTTCCCTTAATTCTCCTCTACAATTGCACCACATTTGGTGAATATTGGGGAAAGCCAATCTTCAACAAAGTTGGACAGATTGTAGAGAAGAGTCCGGGGAACCTTCTCTGTGGTTTTGGTATCTCTAGGTGCCGGGGGGAGACTTTCCTGGAGGGGCCCTCTTTGTGGGTATATACCTTGGATGTCCAAAATCCAATTGTCACCAAAGTTGGAGGGCTTGTAAAAGAGAATCAGGGGAAGCATCTCTGCAATTTTGGTGTCTTTAGCTGCACAATGAATCAAAAATCGCTCCAATGAATTAAAAAAAATTAAAAATCACAAAAATTTCATTGATTCGTATTTGTCAAGGGTATGGATTTGTACAAATACAAATCGATGAATCAGCAATTTTTGATGAATTCTAAAATTCATTTTCAAATTCATGCCCATCTCTAATTGGGACTAGTTGCCACCAACCTCTGATCGCTCCAATGAATTAAAAAAAATTAAAAATCACAAAAATTTCATTGATTCGTATTTGTCAAGGGTATGGATTTGTACAAATACAAATCGATGAATTAGCAATTTTTGATGAATTCTAAAATTTCATTTTCAAATTCATGCCCATCTCTAATTGGGACTAGTTGCCACCAACCTCTGATGATCAGAAGGGGTGAAAACGTGTGACTTACGTACTAGGTTTTTAGTGACGATTTTTTCGGAACGGATTATTGTCACTCTGCGGGGCACCATCCCTGCTACTTAAGAAGACATTGTGAACCCTACAAAACTGGCCTTACAAACGAAATCAACCCCTCCCACTAGCAGTTCTCTCTTACCTTCCCAATGTCCGATGTGTCCAGAGTAAAAATATCTATCCGGCCACGTTCAAAGTAGTCATCTAAGTCATTGTCAGAAATCAAGAGGAATTCTTTCTTCGTGTCTGCTTTTTCACCATATAGTTTGAACAAAACCTTTGAATCCGAACTGGCTCCAGGGACATCGCCCGTCTTTATGCTGATGTGGTAACCGATATCTATGGAGATATTAATGTTTGTACACAAGAGACATGACATGGCGCTGCAAACATGGTGTCCCATCGCTTTGCAAAGGATCAAAGCAGAAGTGGGGAGAAGAGAAGTCAGCAAATTGTGAGTGAGCCTGAAAGCGGTTTAATGAGAACAGGAAAAGAACTGCAATCCTACAGTGAAAGTGGAAAGAATTCCATGTCATTATAACGCTGAAAAACTTTGCCATCCATATGTTGCATGCCTGTGTTCATTAGGTTTCATGTGCAATATCCAGAAGACTCCATGGTCCAAGTGTCAAACTGGGACTGGGGAAATCCAAATAATAGTCTCCTACTGAGCTATGAAACTCTGGGTCAAACTACAGGACACACTTAACTTGGTTTTTTTTAAAAGATGATCCCTCATGTCATTACATAATCTCTGCATGATAGCCTGCAATCTCCCTCAACCACATACCTTGCATTTAGTGGGCTTTCCTTTCTGATTGGTCACTGGAAGGCAAACACAGGCTTAATCTGCCAGTCTGATTGCTCAGGCATGTGGGTTTGAGAATATCACATTGTGCCTGTGGGTTTGAGGAGACCCGACTGTGGGTTGATCACAAGGATTATGCATTCCCGTTAACTTCTACTCTGACCTTTGGGAGCCACAGCTCCTGGCACCAGTGAAATCTTTCTCATAATGTATAATTCTGTTCCTACTCTACATTAGGGTGGGCTCAATGTCGTGCAAGGACTACACATGGTCCCTGGATAAAGTTTGGGGAAGAAAATTGCCCCCAGATCTGCTAAGATGCCACATCCTGATTTACCATATATGCATCCAGATTTTTCTTTGTTTAGACCAGTGGTTCTTAACCTTGGGATACTCAGGTGTTTTTGGACTGCAACTCCCAGAAGCATTCACCACTAGCTGTGCTGGCTGGGGTTTCTGGGAGTTGCAGTTGAAAAACACATCAGTAACCCAAGGTTAAGAACCACTGGTTTAGACAGCTGGCTGGTCATTCACCGACTGAGAATACCTGGCTGAGGACGAAAGAATTAGGAGTTTAATGCCCCAGATTGAGCCTTATAAGAGAACAGCCAGCCTATGTGGTCTTGGGCAAGCAACATAATCCCAGAGCGCCCCCAGGAGATGGGAACAGTAAACTACACCTAAATACTCTATACCTAGAAAACTTTGCAAAGAGTTGCCGTATGGCAGAATCAACCTGATGGCACACAAATATTACCTAATCCAATGATGGAAGCCATGCCTATTCCTACGTCTAATGATGTACTTTCAAAAGGAAGAAGAAACAGGCATTCAAAGGTGTTTGATAATAAGAGACATAATAAAATTCAATGAGAGAGACACTTCTCATTTTTAGTTATGAAGCCCATTTTAGACCATCAGAAGTTCTTGAATTTCTATCATGGGTGTTTCTCATAGAATTTTTTTAAAAAAGGAGGAAAAGAACAAAAAGAAAAATGAACAGCTTGCCCAAAGTATCAAGTACAACTCACTTTCCAGGATAGATGATTTCCCATCTGGAACTAACTCCCGAATAATCTGGCCATCATCCTCGTTTTTGTCAAGCCATCTGGTTAGCAAATGAAAGTTAAGTTATCTGCTATTACCGATCAAACATCAGGAGGCTTATTAAAATCCAGGCAGTGCGTATACTGAAAGATAAAGCTCTGTGTTTAGAGAGATTTTTTTTTTAAATGGGAAACTGGAGTAAAGAAAGAGATTATGAGATTCCTTGAACAATTCCTTGGGTTTCAAAGATAAACACTGAGTCTTCCTTATCCTATTTTCTTAAACACAAATCTGGTTGAATTGGTAATTCCCAACAAGCTCTATTATGAATTCTGCTGGATCTGAAGAACATTACAGACATTAATTAGAACTAAGCAAAAAGTGAAAAAGATAAAGCATTGTGGTGTGTTTAACTCTTCAACAAGACTTAAACTTTCTATGCTTCGGAGGTTAGAGTAGCACGTTAAAAAATATAGCAAACTTTTTTGCCCCATATAGTTACCATTTTACAATCCCTGCATTCTGCTACAATAATAGGGCTAATTATTCTGTGAAGTTTCAGAAACCTCTGTCTGAATTATATAATTAGATATAAATTAGCATCTAGGTGGGTTTTGTTTTTAGGAGGGGAAGACCCTCCTTCCAGGGAGACTAAAGATTCAGACTATCAGTAAAGGAGGACCTGTATAACTTCAAGCTGACCAGGCTGAAGCATAAATCTAAAGAAAACTCTTTTGCAAGTATTTTTAAAATCCAAAGAGATTGTAAAATGTTACAAGATCAAATTATTGCAGGTGGGGAGAAGCCACCTTTTATTATTTCTGTTTTAAAAGGGGAATGGCAGAAACAGAGTAACTAAACCAAACTTCCAACAGTGGATGATTCTTGACATTTTAAAGCATGGTGGTAGTGAAATGAGACAAAGACAGAGATTCGATTTCTACATCTTGTCCTGTTTTGGACATTCCAAAAAAACAACAACCAGAAAGCCAACTGCAGAAAGAATTTAGCAGTATTTTCCATCTGTGACTGCTACTTCATTTTTCTGGCAGTCCAACCAAACTAAAAATCTAACGCAACCCAATTGTCACCTTGCGGTGATAGATCCCATAACTCCATGATGGGTGCCTAAAGACCTCTTGCAAACTTACCTGGAAATTCTGTAAAGGTCTTATTTTCGGAGGACATCATTTCCAGATTATTGCTCCATTCCGTTCTGCATCACAACCCCATTTTCTACCCGTTCACACAAAATTCATGCCTACCTGGGAAACTCGTACAGCAGAAATAGTTGCAAGCCATAACAACAAACCCAGATTCCAGCATTGATAGCTCAGAATAGTAAAGAAGACAGGTAAAAACCAAACAGCTTTTCCAGTCTTTGAATATAAGAAGTGTTGTATTAATTAGCATCCTCACATGGTAGAGGTATGGCTGGACTGTGCCAAACTTTGGACAGCAGGGAAAGGACAGAGAAGACTTTGAGCTACCCAGACTAAAAAATTATCAGCATGAAAAGCCAGCAAGTTGGGAAGGTAGCTTACAACCCTTCTCCTAGAACAGAGGTTCCCAACCTTGGGCCCCCCAGATGTTCTTGGAGTAAAAGTCCCAGAAGCTTTCCTCACTAGCTGTGCAGCCAGGATTTCTGGGAGTTGTAGTCCAAGAACAGCTGATGACCCGAGGTTGGGAACCATTGTCCTAGACCATCTATTCCACAAAGGATGATTTGATCTTGGCTTCTTTCTTAGTTCTTTTTAATAATGGTGGAAAATGTGAAAATTTGAAAAAAAATGTGAAGCCCTATTTGTCATCTCAAGTGGTACAGTCCAATACCAAACATACCATGAGAGCCAGCTGATAAGGGCCTAAATCTCATTGGTGTTCCTCCTAAAATAGACCCATTGAACTATTTAATTATTATACGTTTAATCATTTAATTAGTATTCATTTATTTATTTAATCATTTATAGCCCACCGTATATTACAGGATCTCAGGACGCGTTACAAAACTGTATAAAAGAATTTGAAAACAATTTAAAATCAAACAACACAAAGTTGAAACACTCAAAAAATTAAAAACATAACGCAAAAACTTGAGCAGGCCACAATCCTCAACCCCCCTCCAAGACTCTAATAAATAAATAGGTCTTGACTTGGCACCAAAATGATGACAGTCTTTTTTTTTACTTGTTAATGTTTTGTGCTTTTAATGTAACTTGTTTTAATCACAGTAAATTGCCTTAGGTCCCCTTACTGGGATAAAGGCAGCCGAGAAATGAAACAAACAAATGAATAAAATAAAGGTTGGGAGTTTGATTTCCCACTATGTCTTCTTGACACAGACTAGACTTGATGGTCCATAGAGTCCCTTCCACCTCTCCAGTTCTAAGATTATTTTTAATATCAATGTAGAACTTAATAAGCTGACATTTAAGGAAATTCCATTGATTCAATGGATCTGCTCTAGTTGGACCTAACACTGGATTTAGGCCAATATAGTTAATTTTTTAAAAAAAATACAAAGACATTTTGAAAAGTGTGTCTTATGGTGCGAAAAACACGATAATTTTTTTTAAAAAAATACAAAGACATTTTGAGACTTTGACATAACAGCACAGTAGAATGGTCTGCGTGGAAAACCAAGATATGTATATTGAATATTGAAGGTTCCCTGTTCAATATTTGATGGTTGTCGGGTATGTAGGCTACCCAGTATTCTTCCCTTTCGGTCCATAAAACCATGTGTCTTAAAATAAGCTTTTTCAGAAAGATTGATCACCCAACAAGAAACATTTCATTGGAACTGTGTATTCATTAAGTCCATTTAAGGCAATCCTACAGCAGATGTTTCTGAGTGTGTATTTCTTCTATTATTATCATATTTACTGTGAAAAAAATACTTTTGTCAGGAGGAAGGGAGGAGAAAGTATGTTATCTTTTTACATCCATTCGAACATTTTATCTCATCTGTTTTGCATCCCCTTTTCTCCATGCTCGGGTGCCATTTTGTTTGACTCCAAAGGGCTTCTTCACTTGGATGGCAGGGAATCGAGGCCCACATATTGAACGTGAGAGTATCACACAGCAGCACTTTATAGCCATAGGTGGCTATGTGACATCATCATCAAAGGCAAGCAAAACCTTCCTCTCCCCCTGTGAATGGAAGGGAAGGGAAGGTCGCCTAGACAATTCTACCACCACTCCCCATCTTTCCACACAGCAGTGGTATTTTATTCACTCCAAGGCAAACTTTTTCCCCACCATCCAATTCTGGTTGTGTATTTGCACATGACTAGTTAGAACAGTGTTCCCCAGTCTTGGGTAACCCAGGTGTTTTTAGACTGCAACTCCCAGAAGCCTTCACCATTAGCTGTGCTGGCCTGGATTTCTAGGAGTTGTAGTCCAAGAACATCTGGGAACATCTAAGGTTGGGAACCACTGAGTTAAAAGAAACGGTAAGTAGAGAGATAGAGACAGAGATGGAGATAGACAGAGAGATAGAGACAGAAATTTCCAAATACTGTACATGTTCCACCAAAACCCATGTAAGCATAGGAGGATGATATCTGTATTCTGCAACAACTAGTCAACAGCTAGTTCTGCAGCCGGATTAAGGCAGTGGAACATCAACCAGATTAATTTGGGAAAGAAGGCATATATCCTTCTTCCACAAACATATCCAGCAAACTGTTTCAAAGCCCAACATAATGAGAGTGCATTTTGGAAGAGATGAAAAAAGGGATGTTTTTGTTCTGCACTAATTAGAATGAAAATCCTCTGCTATGTTGAGTGAAAGGTCTTCCTAAGCTTGGAGAATTTCTAGAAGGCAGCTTCCCGAATGCCTTATCCAGCGGTCATTCTGGCTGGGGATTCTAGAAGTCGTAGTCCAAAGAAAATCGCCTTTCTCAAGCTCCGCTCTTGGAGCACAGAGGGAACAGGACAAGTTAATTCTAACTTAAATTTAAGGCCAGGAATGAATCAAAGAATTAGAACTTTTAGCAGAATTATAAGGTACCTTGAAGGCTATGCCAACTAGCCTTCTGGTTGACGAAATGGAACAGAAAGAAGAGAGGAATGTTGAGCACGCATGAAGACGTGGCAAAGATATACCCGTGCTTTAAGAAATTAAGTCGTTGTGGGATCAGTTCCCTTTTTTCCTTGCTGCAATAATCATGATATAATTATGATGCAAAATCTTGGCAATGGTTCAGGTTCGCCACCTTGAAACTTCAATCCAAAGGCTAGGGATTAAGTTGATAAAAGACATTGTGCCACTTAGGTGGCATCTTAATCAGAAGCCCTTTGAGATACAACCCTCAAGTGGCCAGTTTTACAGGTAACCTGTCCTATTTTCTGTTGGATAGGCTGATGCTCCTAACAGCAGGCAGGGATAATTCTGGGCCAAGAAGGCTACATCACAATGTTCTCTGGAAGGTGCTGAACACTGTGTGCAAAGACATAAGACATTTGTGCTTAATGAGAATATCTAGCGTGGAAAAATGCACAGTTAGGAGAAGAGACTTTACTGGACATCTCAGTGGTTGGACTCAATGATCCAGAGGGTCCCTTCCAGCTCCATAGTTCTAAATTGTTGATTACTACTACTACTACTTGTTACCGATCTGGAAACCTGCAAACATGGTAAAAACAAGGAATTTGAAAAAGCAAGAAATGGTTGCTCTGAGAAATGCAGGGGCTGCACAAAAGGCAACCTGAATTCCTTTTATTTCACCATGGCCAAGTATGGTCAGCTATTCCTTAAGCATCAGAATGACACTGTGGTTAATACCTGTATCTGGATAACTGATACATTCACCAAATATGCACACATTTTTGAGTTGGTCAAAGTCTTCATCGGACAATGAATAAAAACTGGGGCATCTGGGTGGAGAGGCATGGAAGCCTCAGAATTTGGCTACATGTTTTAAGCCAATGTTCTTGTGAGGGAGTGAATTGGAAAAAATCTCAAAAAGTCACTGTTGGCAGGTCAGAAGGTCTTACTGTGTTTCCCTGAAAATAAGATGGGGTCTTATATTAATTTTTGCTCCAAAAAACACATGG